AATAATTTTTTAAAATTAAAAAATTATTATTTTAATAAAATTTTAAATAAAAAACATTTCAAAAATAATTGTAATTATACTACGGAACAGGCCAACCTTAGCTGGCGCGGTGGTTTAAGGCACTAAACACTAATCAACAACAGTTGTTAATCACTTGTTTATAATTTTTGGACTTTCAATTGACAATCTGTATGAGCAATGTGTGCCTAATGTTCTTCTAATTAAATGGTAATCACTTATGTTAAAAAAATGTTAATCGCATGTTAAATTCGTGTCTGTTGCTTTGATTAAGCAGCAATCAACTGCGAAGGAGTTTGACCTGGCGACCGTGTTTCTTGGAATTAGCCTTCTGGACCGGTTCCTAGCAATAGGGTTCTTCAAGAACAAAAGTCACCTTCAAATTGTTGGTATAGCTTGTCTTTCATTGGCCACCAGAATTGAAGAAAACCAGCCCTATAACTGGTAAATATCTCTGCCCCGTTCTTTTTTGTGGTCGTCATGTCCTGGATTGCTTGAGGAATAAATGAAACAAGGTGCCAGTCTTGGATGCATAATTCTTTCCTTTTAGTCCTTTGCACACTAAGCTTGCATTTACATAGAATTGTCAAAAAACGATTAGGATCGTGAATAAACTTGTTGATCATCTTAAGAAACAGATCACAAGTGAGTGTTGTGTGGTTATTTTTATGGACTTATTAGAAAAGAAAAATTGCTGTCAACTTGTTGACAGATCAAAGCTCAAATGAACTTGAACACACTGGATGAGCTATGCTTTAATATCTTAACGTTTGCAAGTACTAAGACATTCCTATACCACTCTCCAGTTCATTCCTTTTCATGGTTATATAATCTGCCTCATTTTCATCAAAGCTAGCTGTCCATCACTTCTCAAAACTGAAGGTAATATGATATCTAGCAGCAAGTTCTGCTCCGGTCAATGAGAGCTCCGCTGACAATTTTATAATGGGAATTTCAGTGTTAGGCAAAAGAATTTCAACATTGGGAACAATGTGTACAGCAGAAGTGAAGTAGTGGCCATGGAATGGCTGGTGCAGGAGGTCCTTAACTTCCAATGCTTCTTGCCCACCATCCACAATTTCATGTGGTAACTCCTTTTCCCTTTCCACTTTGCTTTATAGTTTATGGTAGTAAGATTTGTATCCTGTCTTGGATATGAACACTTTAGTTCTTTCTGTCATTCATATGAACTGTAGTTTAGGAAGTCTAATACAACCTTGTCCTTTTTCCATGCTGAACATTAGGTTCTACCTGAAAGCTATGAAAGCTGGTGCACTGGTGGAGAAGAGGGCCAGATACTTAGCAGTGCTGGCACTGTCAGACCTTGAGCAACTTAGGCATTGGCCCTCAACGGTTGCAGCCACGCTTGTCATCCTCGCTTCTCTAGAAAGCAATGAAATTGCATCCTATGGACGAGTTATCGAGGTACTTATATTAATTTGCAGCACAAGCTTGCCGTGCTCGAATACCAAAATAAAACGATTTGGGCTGTTAATGGGCGGAGGAGGTGCCGCTTCTTGTTTCATTTAATATTTTTGGACAAGATTTGCCGTATGATATGATCCAGTGAAGTATCTGAAAACTGGCCTAGAGCATACTTTTCCCCCCGGCCCGGCCCATTCCTAAAGTTATACTGCAATAAACATGCTCTTAGGTTCTGATTAGTCAATTTGATTTTACAGGTTCATGTAAGAACAAACGAAAATGACCTACACCAGTGCATAAAGGTATGCAAATAAAGATCTTTTCTAAAACGGTATAATAGGACCCTCTTTTTTATGCAATTCTTTTCTAGGAAGGTGCTGCTATTGATGCATTTACTTTCACATTCACATTCTCGAAAGCTAGTGCCGCTGGTGTTGATTTTGCCTTTCTTGTTAATTTGATTCGAATTATTTGACGACGGTATTAGCAGAGCCTAGAGTGGTTGCTGCAATATATGAGCTAGCAGTCTAGCAGGAGAAGGAATGAAGGATCATTAGATCGCCTCTTGTACACTCGCATTCTTTCCTCACACGCATCACTGGTTACTGTAGATGAAGATAATTGTAAAGCCTGATAATAACAGGTAACACAAATCTGATTCTTTTACGGTACATGCTCTAACCAAACTGTTCATAATATAGAATGGCAGGATCTGTATTCAAGGAGCCGGCTCATGTAAATTCAAAGACATAATATTCCGAGTATTCCTTTGTATGTTCTATGCAAAACGATGATGGGATTATGCAGACAGAAGTTATTTTTTTTATTCTCCAATATCATTTTGTTGTCTTGGCAGGCAACTCTCTGCCATATATCGGTTCTTGTGCTTAGTAGTGTTATAACAGTGAAAAAACTGATCTCGGACTCCCATGAGTTCAAGTCATCGGGTTAGTTTATGTACCTTAATTTGACCAGGAAATGCAAATACCTCGTTCACGGATTACAGACTGGTGAACATGTTTGGCGAAACCTTTCCTTTTCAAGGATGTTTTGTGCATTCCAGTGAAATCATGGACAAATATATGCAAGATCATAGTAATTCTTTGAAAGTTTACAAAGAGAGTTAAAGCATATTCATTTACTAAAGATGTATTTGATCACCGAACTTGTTTCATGATAGAAGTAACCCGAGGTTTTACTTTCAATCACATTTCAGTGGCCTGGAACGGTTGAAACTGAATAGAAGGTTGATTAATGTTGGTCCGGAACCAGTTGGTGCAAATACTTATCGCCAATGACCTAAAAATGTGGAGAACACAAATTATTTGTCCAGGATTGTCTCGCAGAGCTGGTTTGGTAGGAATTTGTTCTTCTAAAGGAAGTCAATGCTCCATTTTTCGACCATAGTTTGAATAGTGAGAGTGCACAAAAGATTTGATCTTTGTGTCAAACACATCTCAATTCTTCATAGTTCTACAGGACTATCCTTCCGGGGTTTCTTGGTCTAGAATTAGCTCTGTACATTGTCTAGAAGGATTTCATACCCCAGATAAGCTTGTGGAGTAAGAAGGCATCAGTTTTGTCATGGATGACTAAATCCAATGCCTTCATGAATTCGATCGCATGACCCTTCTAATTCCTGTGCAAACTTGTTGATCTAAGGTTCTGTGCCCCTCGGGCCCCTGCCATTGCACCTGGAGGCTGACTGCGAGGAAGTATTGTTAGGCTTTACGTTATTCTCTGAAACAAGAAATTGGTTCCGCTTGATTGAGCACTGGCTGCATTTATTATAGCATAAACGGAAGAATACAGATGGGGAGCAATATTTTTAAACAAAATGCCAATAAAATTTGTGGAAGTGCAGAATCACATTGAAACGGAGAAAAGAGTCTGCAATTCACTGCTCACATTTAAATACAAAGGGGAAACCATGGGAAATACATACAGAAAATAAAATCAGGTGTAGTTAGAAGAAGCCGTATCACTCAAATATTTGCAAGCTTACTATCTGCTGAATCAATTGGAATCACTGGAGGCTCTCCCGCTGGAGATCCATTGTGATGGATGTGTGCTGGGCTCCCCTCGCTTACAGGAATCTCCATTTTTTCCTCTTCAGCCTTTTCAACTTTCTCCCTGGTCATCACGCTCACATCCTCAGCTGCCTTTGCCACTGCAGTAAACGCACCTGAAACCCATGAAGCTCCTGTGGATACGTAAGGGTTACCCATGATGGCAGATCCTACACTGCTTGCCTTCTGCTCAGCTACTGAAAGGACAGTTTTCGTCTTTACAAGCACTTGGAACTTCTCATCCATCTCCCGGACCTTTTCATTCACCACAGCTGTGCCCACACTAAGCTTTTCACTCAGACCAATCTTATGGTCAATTGAAGCAACTGTTGCGGAGGCATTTGAAGTCAGATGAATACGTTCATCAAAGGCTTTGGCCTTGTTGATTGCATCCTTCCCCAATACAAAGCCCTTGGCAAGCATGGTGCTCACCACATCTTCAGCCTTCTTAACAGCAGAATCAGTAACAGGTGGCTTTTGCTCCTGAGGAATGGTAGAAAACAAAAAATAAAACTGTAAAAATAATTGACCTCCTGGTACAACCCATTCCCCTCCCCTCTCCCGCTCAAAGAAAGACGAAAACGAATGAAAAATTCGATTCACATATCAATGCAGATGCTGATCTTTGAACTCCTGCCGAAAGCATAGGAACGAGAGGGAAAAACTACCCTTAAAAGCAACAAAAGTATAAGCAAACCTGATGATGGTTAGACACTACTAGCCTGGTGAATCCAGCATCGGCAAGTCACCGTGATTTTATTTAACTAATCTGAATAAAATTCGTCAGTTGACACCCCATGTCCATATTTATTCGAACGCTACATGGTCATGCTTGAGTTCATCCATAGTTCATATTCATTGAGAAAGAGAAAATCTTTTACAGATAGCAATCCATTCCAGACTCTTAGAATTAAAATATGAATGAATAACCTCTGCAGGCTTCTGGTTATCTCAAAGTCCCAAGATAATTTTTATGCAAATAAAAGGGTAAAAAAAAGAAGAAAAACTCAAGCTATCACATTTATAAAGGCCCACTGAAAGATCACGAGAATTTTGGAATTTAACTCAAAACTGTCATGAAATGCATTTAATTTCATGCGTGGAACCTCTACCTTTCATAGTCTACAGGTTAATTGAATATTATGAATTTTAATTTCCCAGACTAGTTATTGCCTACGACTGAACAGAAAAAAGGGCAGATAATTGAACACCATATACTCTGGCTATGCATGTCATTCTACTTCACACGCATAGAAGCTGGCTACAACATCACATTATATGATAATTATCAATAACAGAGACGCAGAAACACAAACATAAAATATTTACCAATTTTGATGAAAGAGCTTCAGGGGGCAGTTGATAATCCTCAACAGGCGTAATCAAAACAGAAAGATCAGCTACGATGGCTCCCTGAGTCAGTAACACAAAGTCAAAAATAGATTCCAAGACAAAATCTGTACCAGGCATGTCAAATAGGAAGGAATTAATCGAGAGGCAGAATATGAAAGAAGATACAAAAAACAGTAGAGAAATAAATTATGTCTACATTATATCTGAGAATGAGATGCAATCTTGGCCACTCCCTTTAAGTCTTTCAACCACACTCACGACCCAAAATGCATAAGCTTTAACAGTCATTTGAAGGCAATGAAATGACAGTTCTTTTCTTTTATGAAATTTACGTGCACTCATTTATTATTCAATGGATCACCTAAAACCATTAGCCAAGCCTGGTTGGGAATGAGGATCTCACTTGAGTTCTATGAGGTAATGCAAATTCTAAGTTGCCCATGGAAGATTCTTGTTAAAATCCATGAGGATAAATTATGACAGACCGGTTTTTTGGAAGGCATGTATGCCTGCATATCCACCAGCATTGTCTAGAGGAACATTCACTGTCAACTCCAGAGGAATCTCAAGTTTGAAGAGGTCACATTTAAAGGCATAAACACTGCTCCTCTTGCAGTAGGCCTGACTATATACCTTATGTCATGTGGACAATGTATATCTGGAACAAATTCAACCACATAGATTGGCATTAATGCCTTGATATTCTGAAATTTTACTATTCCTGGAATGCTAGCTCTAATTTCTGTTAATCATTTCATCATGAGAGCGCCAGAGACTCATATAATTGGATATCTTGACATGAAGACATCTACACATTCACGCGTTAGCCTTGAAAGATGAACATTGATTCACCAGTATAGAATAAGAACATACTGAAAGAAGCATCGCCGTATCAGCTCCATGTGACTCCTCGAATGTAACATAGGCAAGCTGAGTTGTTTCACTTTCCCTGCAAAGTGTACCAAGTTTCTTCTCAGTCACTTTAACAAGTCAGTTTTTTAGCTTCTGATCTAAGAGTACTGACCTTCGCATTTCGACGTATAGAACATCACCAGAGAAGGAGAAAAACTCTTCGATATCCCTATCAGTAGCAGTTAATGAAATGTTGCTGACTTTAACTGTTCTTACCTGTAAGGAATGAAAAGGGAAGATTAAGAGACATAACTTTCCACCAAGAAATCCTTGTTTAAACTAACTTCGTAAACAATCCGTACTGGCCTAACATTTCCATTTGAGACCAAGTACTGAAATATTATAAGCAAAACCGCCATGTTAGATGGGTAAGGTTTCGGTATTTAGGTGCCTTCTCTGGAGCATATTCACTTCGCCCCAATCAGTGTTCCACTCATGAAATCAGCAATTCTATTTCTGAACAGTTTCTTACTGGGATTTACTTATTTGTTCATTACTAATTTCTAGGATGAACTCACATCTGAAACATTGATTGTCCAGTTGGTTGCACTATTTGACTGGGGTAGTGCTTCGGTTTTCTGACCAGCATCTTCCTGTACCGGAACCTGCACAAGTAAACCTCGATTGGGATCTAAAAAATGTAACACAGAAAAAGCTTAGGAAGCTGACAGAAATACTGAAATTCAACTGGATACATGGTTGGCATTTATAGATTAATAAGAAGAAATAACAAAACCAACTAGAGAAAGATAAACAGTAAATTACATCCTTCAAGAAGCATCATGAAATAACAAAACCAACTAGAGAAAGATAAATATATCCTTCTAGAAGCATCAATGTGACCAACTAGAGAAAGATAAACAGTAAATTATATCCTTCAAGAAGCATCAATGTCAAGAAATTATGTTAACAATCGTGGAAACTGATTCATTAACACAATTTGAACATTTTTTTTATTTTTTATTTTGCGAAAAAAAACTACCCTCATTTTCAATTTTTTGGTTAAGTTAGATCTGTAACATGAAATCCTCCTTGTTGCAATACCAATTATCTCTCAACCTAGCAAAGCGATATGAAAGCAAATGGGACACAGAACTCATGATCAGGAAGAATGCCAGCAATGTAAACACTGAGAAAATAAAGCAATTCAAAATGAGAAAAAAATTTTAAAAATAGGATTGATGCGAATTAACAGACCTAGTTAATAAGTTGATATAATTATGGGGCGTTGCTTAATTGTTTTTTCTCGTGAAACCAAACATCTGATCATAACATACGTATAAAAGATTTGTAATGGTATCACAGCACATGGATCAATGACTTTCTCAGACAACAATATATATATAAACACACATATCGCAATGAAGGGAAAAAGATGGAGGGATTTAAAACAGAAGTAAATAAACCCCATCATGCCAAAACATGCAGTGGAACAGTAAAAGAATGAATGACTCACCGGCGTCGACGACATTATGAAAAAAGACTTCACAGTTAATTAAGGAAATTCACACTATAGATACAAATATAATACGGTTTGGATATATAGAGATCGAATGATTTAATAGACAGGGAAACGAGACAACAAAGAAAAACAGAGAGAGAAAAGAGATGGTGGGTTTTTCGGTAGTTTCTTTTGCATGCGCCCAATTCGCGCGCTCGTTTTGGTGGTGGCGTGTGTGGTTTTGAATGGTTTTGGGTCAAAATTGAGTCGCTGTCACACCAACTCATTCTCCTAATATCCTCCTCCTCCTCTTCTTTTTCTCGGTAAATACTCCTGAAGTGAATTGGAAACACCCAGAAACATAAATATGTAAAATTATACTCATCAGAAAAAAAAAAATCAAATTTATATAAAATTTATGATAATTTGAATTCAATTCATAATCTATTATAATTCTTATATTTAAAATAAAATACTAAATCAATTCAGTAAATTTGATTATCTTATTTAACTCAAAAATCTTTTTTTTATTCAGTAAATTTGATTATCTTATTTAACTTAAAAATCTTTTTTTTTTGCTACAAGGAACATTATATTTATTTAAAATTATAAAATCATATATACATATATATTTGTTAAAAAAATTAATCTTTTAAATAAATATATTCTTGTTTTAGTGCTAGCTAAGTAGCTCACGCAACCCCACAGACTCACCTCTGACTTCCCAAAAATAATTAGAAGCAAAACCAAAGCCTATTTAAATCTTGCCAAGATAGATCCCAAGTATATTTAGGTCCTATTATATTTGCCAAGATAAATCCCAAGCATATCTAGGTCCTATTAAGATCAGGATCTAAGACTATTTGAGTATTCAAATCTAATTTTTAGTTATTGTGCAGAGCCCAAGTTTATTTTTGGGTTCTACAACTAATAATTCGTGTATAATTTATAAATAAAAGTAAATGTGAAATTAAGTATAATTTATAAAATTATTATTACAATACATTTGGTAAGTTTAGTAAATAATATAACATTTTCTTTTAAATTCATCAACTATTTTATTAATAATATTAATTACAATAAAATATCCTCTTATAAAATTTAAAGAAAATAATAATATTTACAATATAAATAATAATATTTTTAGTATTAATTATTATTAAAATAATATTATTTATAAATCCAAAAATAATAATATTTTTGAGATTAATACTATTAATTATACTAAAAAAATATATTAAGAAAAAATAAAATAATAATTTTAATATTAATTATACCAAAAAAATAATATTAAGAGAACAAATAATAATAGTTTTGAGATCAATACTATTAATTAGAATAAAAAAATAATAATATTTTTATTATTAATACTCTAAAAGTTAATTATACTAGAAAAAAATATTAAAACAACTAATAATAATATTTTTAATATCAATACTTATAATTATACTAAAAATATAGACAACCCAAACATTACGTCATGCTTAGACTGCACCAAAAAAAAACAAAGTAAGTTATAAACAGCACTGTGCTGCAAGTTTGGGATGGAGATGTCCAAGCATCATATAGAGCTTGGTATCCAACAATCAGCATCTAATGTTATTATAGGTCCTGCTTTACCAAGTTCAAGGCTAGTCTTGGGCTATGTATGACAGTGCCCAAGCCAAAACGTCACTTGGTGCTGGACTGCAGCACAGAGAAAGCATGTCATGCCCCATGTGGTGTTTGGGTCGTCTGTTTTTGGGAGGGAATCCAAGGGCCACGTATCCTAATGTAGTTTTTTTTATAGTAATAGAAATGTTTTAAAATTTATTAACGATGATAATAATATTTATAACACAGATAATAATATTTTTAGTAGCAATAATATGAATTATTATAAAAATAATATTATTTATAACACCAAATATAATAATATTTTAGAGATGAATACTATTAATTATACTAAAATATAATATTAATAGAAAAAATAATGAAAGTTTTGACACCAATACTATTAATTAGGCTAAAAAAATAATAATATTTTTAATAGAATTATAATAAAAGTATAGGCAGTCCAAGCGTCATGTGACGCTTGGATTGCACCAAAGATAAAAAAAAATCAATATTAATTGTACTAAAAACTAATATTAATAAAATAAATAATAATATTTTTACCATTAATACTCTAAATATTAATTATATTAAAAAATATATTTTCAATAAAATATTATTAAAAATATATATATTAACTATAATTAAAATTAATTATACATGGTGCTTGGACTGTACCAAAAAAAAAAAAAGCAAGCGCTAAGTGGCACTTTGCTACAAGCTTGGGGTGGAGATGTCTAAGCACCACATGAAGCTTGGTATTCCGACAGCCAGCATCTAATGTTATTATAGGTCCCGTCCTGCCAAGTCCAAGACTAGCCTTGAGCCATGTTTTATAATGTCCAAGCCAAAGCATCATTCTGCACTTGGACTACAGCAGGAAGCATGTCATGCCCCATGTGGCACTTGGGTTGTCCACCTTTGGGAGGGAATTCAAGTGACACGTGTCCCAACATGGTTTTTTTATAATAATAGAAATTTTTTAAAATTTATTAACGATGATAATAATATTTATATTTTTATAAATTTCAATGAGAATAATAATATTTTTAGTAGCAATAATATTAATAGAAAAAATAATAATATTTTTAATAGAATTATAATAAAAGTATAGGTAGCCCAAGTACTATGTGACGCTTGGATTGCACTAAAAATAAAAAAAATCAATATTAATTATACTAAAAATTAATATTAATAAAACAAACAATAATATTTTTATTATTAATACTCTAAATATTAATTATACTAAAAAAATATTTTTAATATAATTATACTAAAAATATAAGCAATTCAAGTACCATGTGGCGCGTGGACTGTACTCAAGATGAAGGAAATCAAGCGTCACATAGTATTTGGACGATTTGCTTATGGGTGTGGCAGCCAAAGCGCCACTACACTCTTTATTTGCCTTGGGACTCAAGGCTAGACAGATCAAACGCTAGTTGGCGACGCGCCTATCATCCTTATCTGCCTCTAGCCCTAAGGTCGGCAGATCAGGTGTCGGGGGCTTGCCTTCAAGCTGGCACTGCTACCCTCAACCCAACTATAGTGCTACCCTCAACCCAACTATAGTGCTATCAAACAGTGGAGTGTACAATAAAAGCTCTCATATTTCTTAGTCAAAACATTTATAATGTATTCATAATATAATACAGTGTAATTTATAATAAATTAACTTATAATAATTAGTATTTTATATTATAGTGAAATATTGTCTAAATATTAATTATATTAAAAAATATATTTTCAATAAAATATTATTAAAAATATATATATTAACTATAATTAAAATTAATTAGTGTTTCACTACAATACAGAATACTAATTATTATAAGTTAATTTATTGTATATCAATGAGTGTTATTTAATAAAAAAAAATTTTGTGAATAATCTGTTTCAATGTCCTTTGTGTTTAAGTAGAGAGAGTTTCAGAGGCAGTTACAAATAATATTCTTAAGATAAGAAACGGCGCAAGTATTAGTAGTATATACGAGGATGATCGATTTTTTTAATACATATATAAAAATGATTTGACGTCATTATAAAAAAATAGAGTTTACAGTGCACGTGCACTGTTGGACGAATTATCTTCATCAATCATGCAGAGCATCTTCCTTCATCTAATTTTTGTATAATGACGTCAAATCATCTAGATCGAGGATGTTTGGAAATTTAATAATAGTTGTTTTATAAAATATTTTTATTTAGAAATATATTAAAATAATTTTTTTATAAAAAAACTATTTTTAATATAAATACATAGAAAAGGATAAAAAACATATTAAATATAATTAGAAAAAATCAAAATTTAAAAAATATACCATTTCAAACAAGTTCTCAACCCAACATCCTACGATGAAGATAGGGACCAAACAAGGTTGTTGAGTCGTACAGTTTTCTCACCAATCTCTCATGGAGGTGCCAAGTACATAAAAGAAGAGGAGGGATCAGAATTCAAATATTCTGAGATGAACATGATGCTTCGGATTTATTCGAGTTTAGTAGTGGATAAGGTAGCAGATAATTTCCTGTGTGTTAGAAAGAGTGTATCCAGTAATGGAGTTGATGCGAACAGCTGAGGGGTTTGAAGCCTGTGAATCCATTAATGGGCTCACCATCAGATATTGAAATGAAAGCACCAGGGCTCAATTATCGTAGTGGAGTTTATTGACTTTTAATTTGTTGACTCTCGCTAATCAACAAATCCAATAATCCAGTAATAGATGGAAGTCAGACATCTTACCAACATTTTGAAAGCAGTATTTTTGTTTTCAGAATTTTGAAAAAGAGTTAATAAACTTGTTTGTTTTGTTTTTCGTTTTTTGAAAAAAAAATCAACAATCATTATCACAAATTTTTAAAACAACCTTTTTTTTTATATTAAAAAAAACCCTTAAACAACCTGTTAGAAAATATGTTTTTGTTATAAAAAATCTAACAATGAAAATAGAAAATGAAAAGCATAAATGATATTAAACGACCTCTAAAGCATCGCATCTACAGTTCACATGACCGCCACTCTTTCCGCGTTTTGATCTGATTTAGAGAAAGTGCATAAAGATCAAGGCATGCATCCTCGTGGCTGTATTTCTTCATGGTAGACGAGTCTGAAATTAAGAACTTGCACTTTTCTGGTCCTGTCTGAGATCCTAAACGAAGCAAAAACCAAAAAGATTTAACTGTTTACATTGCTATAGGTCAAAAGATGTCACAGCACTGCACTCATGCCAGGAACAAGAAAAGAAAAAAAGGATTGAACTGTTTCGTGATGCCTAAGATGTCCAAGAACAAAAGATGGTCATTGTGAAACAAAAAGATGCACTCACGCTTAGTAAGGACAAAAGCTACCAATCTCACTGACCAGGTTCAAACCTCCAAAGCTCGTCACATGGAACTCCCCAAAATAATACCCAATTTTTTATTTTTTTGTATCAAAAGATGGCCACACATTCCTCTGCAGTATGCATGCACATCAAAACATGACAAATTCCCCATGGATTTTCTATAACAAGGTGAGTACAAAACGCAAGAGCACGACATGAGCGTATAGTCATGTGCCTACCCAAGAAAAAAAGAGAGGAAAAGATCTGGGCATCCATGTGCAACATGCTCATAGATGTACCTATTTAGTTATTTCAAGGCTTGGCCACCTGCTTACGAACTATTCTGGCGGCTCTTTTTGTCAGCCACTTTCTTGAAGATAACAGCATTTAACAAAACATCGCTCCCATAATGCAAGGAGAGGGTCCCAATTAGACATATTGGACAAACTGCTAAGAACCAAGCTGAAATAGTTTATCTATACCGGTTTCGACACAGATTGAGGCCAACCTATCGATCTTTGACGGCCTAACAAATTAGAGAAAAGCAACCACATGCATGCCAACAAATTTAGAAACATTCCCATCAAGAACAGAGACCCCAAGTGGAATCACTTCATAATGACGCATACATATAACTAATGTTTCTTACTCTATCCTGTTTTACTAAAATTACTACAGACAAAGATTATAGAACTAATTAGTCATAATAGAACCACCTAGACTCTTCAGCATAGATACAAATTAAAGATTTGCTAAGTTTTTCTTCATTATTTCTATATAACCGACACAAACACGCGAGCTATGCAACCTAAAGTGAACTCCCCCCCCCCCCCCCCCCCCCCCCCCCCTTATTGTTGGCTCTTCATCTTGACTAACATAATTTTTACCTCCAAATGGGGGGCTACTGGGGAGTAATTTGTTCTGAAAGGCTATTTATGGATTAATATAACTGTGATCTTAATAATTAAATACCTTAATATGAACAACAAGTGTATGTATATATATATAGAGAGAAATATGATTTGTGGAAAAAGAAACATGTTTATTGTTTTGCCTAACAGAGGGGAGCCCTACGTGGGACGCCTTTTCTCTTGTGCAATTGTCTTCTTGGTTTCAAAGCTGAATTGATCCAACCTTGAGTATCCTCAGACATATCAGTCAAGGAAAGTGACGATTCGTTCTCACTTGAATGCCTTTCTGCACTGCAGTTTTCCTTCCAGGAGAGGTCAGGAAATTCCTGAATTGAGAAGGGGATGATTTTGTGGCTCTGATCTTTAAGCTCCACTGAAACCTGAAAATACTATCAGAAATTACTTTTAGGGGTGTTACTCAGAGATTTTGAGGAAGGCAAGGCACCTGTAAGAATAGAGGAGGCAACTTCGATACAAATTGAATCTTATTGGTTTTTTTTTTAAAAAAAAAACAAAAACATAAAGGAAGAAATAAAATGATGTTGAGATTATGAGGCTAATCTTGGTTACCTTGCATGCAATAGAGCAGAAGCGATTGGGGACATCTTGTAGATATCTTGCACATGCTTCACAAGAAGCACCAAGCTTCGCTTTCGTGGATGGCCTTGCGTCTTTAGGCTGAGGCCGTGGTTTCAGATGAATAGCCTTTTCACCATTGATCTTGTAAGTCTGCCGAATCAAATTGGTTTTCCGTAGGAAACCATAATCAATCATTTGCAAATAAAACTTTATGACAACAAAATAATAAAAATAACAAAAAACTGGAGGATCCAAATAAAAAATCTTTGCTCTTAATATTAATATTAAATAAAAACCTGAATTTTAGAACAGTCAATATGTTTTTGAATCTCTTGAAGGCGAACAACATCATGATAAACATATTTGCAGATCTGAAATTGTCGATGAAGAAAATGAGATTCCATACAATGTCGACAGCACCCAACTCTGCAATCGATGCAAAACACATTTTTCTCGTTCTTTCTGTGTTCTTGATGCAGACCACAAGAATCAAAGAACTCGCTATGGAAAAGATTGCTGAGCCAATTTGTGTTCTTTACATAAAGTTTGCAACCTACCTGCGACATTACAGAACATCAAAAACTACTTCATGGATAATTCAATTCAACAACTGAGTAATTGCAGTAATTCGATCACAAATAGATAAAAAAGAGTATCGACAACTCAAGTCAAATTACAGTTTTCTGAAATCAGTTCCAATCAACAAGAACAGACACCAGCGTTTCTAATAGTTTTACACATATTACCAGTCAAAGAAACTAAAATGGCTGAAATTTAATAAACACATCAGAGAAACAATCAATCAAACCGAATAAAACCAGTAACAATGATTGAAATCAATCCGAAACGTGGAATTCATACCATTTCTTCTGCTTCGAGATTGAATTGTTGTTGTTGGATTGAAAGACAGTTAAACACAGTGAAAACCAAGAATTTGCAAACAGGGGCTGTGAAAAAATGAGCAAAAGAAGAGAATGAAAAGCATTTATAAAATATGAAAGGCTTGTCCCGGTATGAACGAGGCATGTAAAAGACAAATTCAGGAAAAAAAATTCAAAAAGGAAAGAGAAATCGCTGTGGATATTGTTTACTGCTGCTTAGCACAGAAGTGGCCTACCAGCGGCGGGAATGTGATGTATGTATCTGCCTGACATGATAATGGATACCTATTAATCGTATTTCTATTTTATTCGTATTGTACTTTAAAAACTATTTATATATAAATATCATTTGTTATTTAATATGTGTATTAAATGGTAAGTTATAAATGTCGAATATGTATTATATTATCTGTGCGTATATATAATACAAATTTACATATTTTTTGAAACAGGCTAGAAATTGATTTCGACTTGTTATTTATCACTGTTATTTATTTGGTAACTTAATTATTAAAAAAAAACCTTGTTTATTTAGATTATTAAGATTAGTATTTATTATATTGGAATCAAATAATCATTTACAGTAAAGTGTAAATGTGAAGTAACATAAAATCTCAGAGTACAAAAGATAACCAGTTGTGAAGCCATGAAATGGCAATCAGCTTGCCCATGCTGCAGACAATGCCACGCATTTGTTTTTGCCCTAGAAAATTAATGATACCAATAATATATGGGGTGTTATGCTCACTGGCATGATCCTTTCATTGACCTATTTATTTTATGTTAAACTTTCCATTTCATTACAATCAAATTAGTTACTCAGTTGATGTAAGAAATAGATTGTTTGAAAACGACATTTAATCTCAGTCAACATGCAATTTTCAATAAAATCCATATTTTAAGTTTATTATTAAAGAATATGTTCAAAAGCTTTGGACAAATGAAAATCGCTTTCATATTTTATTATTTGCAAAGGATTTTCTAAAATATGCCATGAGAGGGGAATTTTGAAGTTTCAAATTTCTTATAGTATCATTATCAGCCCATAGAAAACGGGATAATTAATTAATTAATTGTTGATGACAAGAACCGAGGATCTTAAGAACTTTTTTCCTTGAAGAATATATAATTTTGTTATTATATTTGAATTATTTTTATGTATTGATATTAAGAATAACTTTTAAAAATAAAAAAAATATTATTTTAATATATTTTTAAATAAAAAATAACCTCTACATTATGTACGTATTCCATGATGATTAAACGACTGTCATGGGGTGAAAAAGAAATCTCGGGGGCTTGACAAAAAGAGGCCGGGTTTTCTCGAGCCTCACTTTTATTTTATCCAATAAGTCAGCATTTTCCAAGCTGCAAGCCAATTATTTATCATCAATCATGGAAAGGTGAACGCTTATACTGCCCTTTGAATCGTGGCGGAAAAGAGAGAATAAACTACAGGGACTCTCGGAGACTTGTTTGTTTTTTATGTAGAAGTTTTACAAAATTTAAAAATAAAATTGTTTAAAATTAATATTTTATTATTATTTATTTTAAAAATAAAATTGTTTATAATTAATATTTTTTTATATGTTAATATTAAAAATAAATTTTAAAAAATATATTATTTTCGTATATTTTTCAATAAAAATTATTTTGAAAAATAATTAGTATTGCAGTGTAAAATACTACGGGTCTTCCTGTGAAAAGGTAATTATATGGGAAGGTGTATAAATAAAGGAATTCCCTATATTTGCTCCGAAATTGTTTAAGTCTGGATTTATCTGTGATTGATAATAAAATTACAAAGGAAAATTAAAAAATAAAATAAAATTGATGGTTAGCGATTCGTTGAGTTTTTTCCCGATAGAGAAGGCAGCTGACAGCTTGTATTTATTATTATCGTTTTTGCCTACTCTTTATTTATCACCCCATATTAGATCCTTGGAAGATATCACATTGTTTTCCACAGAAATCTCGCTGTATATCTCCTTTTCCCACCCTGCAAAGTCAATACATTGGTTTGACAGAAATTTTATAGAACTCGAACGGAACTTGAATTCTAATGAATCGACGCTTCGGTCAATTCGGTTCTAATCTCATTGATTCTACAAAAGTTTTACGGTGCTAAGATATAATTAGTGATTAAGAGAGAATAAAATATATGATTTATCAGAAGATAATAAAAATATTACCATCTTGTATTTATCTGTTCTAATTATATCTATTTATTTTTATAAAGTGAGTTTAGATAACTAATATATGACATTAAATATAGCTTGAAAATCATAAAATTTCTCTTGACTTCAGCTTGAAAAATCACTTCGACGGTCAAATTAATAAATTATACAAACTGACGATATGACTAGTTAAATCAATTTGCCCAATTACTTTCTTTCTTTTTATTTTTATAAAATTTATTATACTGCAATTCAAATAAAATAAAATGATAATTATTTTTTAAACTTCAATATGCTACAGAGCTACTACGATATCCATACTAACCAAAAAGCACATACAAAGTTTATGGAGATGCATGCGTCGTACACGCATATAATATTCAAATTCATACACGTAAGGTTGGGGGTTCAATTGAGGGTCCTAAGAGGTTGATTCAGGTGGTCAACTTTTTGAGAGATTTCCAATTTATATAAAAAAGAAAGAGAGTGAAGAAAAAATGGTTTTCGATTTCCTCCAAACATGATTGCTAATGAGTTTTCTTGTTTATCAACAATCGTTGGTCCGAATGATAGGATGCTCCGTCCAGGGGTGGCTGGCAGGGGGGGCCCTAATTTGCCCCTCCAAACCTAAAATCCTAGCTCCTCCCAGACTCCATCCAATTGAGACAAGTAAGTGGTAAGCGGCATGCTACGTGATTTGTAATGGGCAAAACGTGTTCGATTTCGTAGGGTAGAATCCAGGTTTCAAACCTCAACACCTGATAGGGCAAGCCATCATTGTGAAGTGTAAATGCAAAAAATTGAGTTTTGCTGGAATAAAAAAGAGAGATCAATAATCCTACAACTAAAGATAACAATGAAAATAGAAAACAGACGAAACGGAGAGAATGAGACAAATTTCTTTTCTTCTTTTAATTACTGGATATTCAATAAATTTGGTGTAATTCTGATCCTTTGTAATGTTTCGTATAACGCACTAAATGATGTTTCTTCTAGACAAAATTGAAGGAAAGACCCTTGTGAAAGTTGAAATTGAACCGAAACAGCGGGGCGGCTGTTGCAACTTAATCCCCCTCCTGGAGATTTAATTCACTGTTACGTTTCCAGCAACTGGAACCAACCGCCTCCATCTGTTGCCAATGGAAGCCTTCTCCATCCATGTGATGTAGAACCTCATTAAATCTTATGTGTGTGTAATGAGATCTGTTTCTTTTATCAGAATTAATCATTGTGAATACGTTTTTTCCTCCTTCGGCACCTTTCGACGTACCAATTGGCATGCTTTTGGAGGCCCATGCCAACCATCACCTTCAGGCTTGTGAGCATAACATAGGTCAAGGCAGACAAGAAAAGGATCCAAAAAAGCCTCCACGGAAGGGGACTGGGGGGGAGGTGAGCAGAATATACTGGAGTCAGAACTCGGATAACCTGAAACCCAGAAGATAAATCCCTTACACCTAAAATCTTCAGCCTCAAATCAAAAAATAGATTAAACACAATACAGAAAACCATTTTGGATTCTCATATTGTTGACAAGAAGTAGAATTCCACAAAGCAAGAATATTCTCATTTAGCAGCCCAATTAGAGGATTTAGTCAAAAGCCATTGACTGTTCGTATTTTGAATGCAGAATATCTTGTTCTGTTAAATAAGGCCCTTCCCTGCAAACACAGAAATCATATAGCCCTACTGAATATTATTAAAAGCCTTCGTTATCAAAGGCATTTCAAGAATGTCAGCTCCTTGTATCGAGGGGGGTACCCTAAGGAGTGCCCACAACAGCAGCTACAAGTGCAAAAATATTTACAAGTGCTTACCACACACGCTGGAGCCAAAGGAATGAATGTAAGAGTTCTCTTTCTACTTTCTGTATTCTCTGTTTGAATGTTCAGTGTCTGTAGCAAAACAAAAGAAACTAATAAATCACCAAGTTCAAGTTTACAACACGAACAGAACTCCAAGAATAATGAGAGAACAGATTTTAACGCCCTAAAGTTCAAAGTGCAAGAACTTTAAGTGCTTCTTAAACCAAACCAAAACTAATTGACGTTTTATAATGAACTAAGACTTTAGTGCTTATGTATTTTATTTCCCGCTCCAGCACATCTATCGGGTTTTGATTTGAGTGCAAGGACTAAAGTTTAACCCTGCCAGAATCTCAAGGACTACAAAACAAATCATTCTTCAAACAATTCAGGAAATTCCTGAATAATGTTTCCTCCAGATTTAGGGGTTATGATGATGAACGTTACCAAACATTCACAGCTGGATCCATATCTCCTTGAGGAAATCCAACAGCATTATCCATCAAGATCTCCAACTTCATTCCTCTCCATGACTATCCATTTGGATTTTCTCAGAACCCACACCCCAAATTTAAGTTTTAAATACTAAAATCCACGTTCCAAAGTAAAATTATGAATATCACAGGAAATTTAGTAAGACCAGGTGTGGCAAAGAAAGCAAGGGGGAGATGGACAGCTAAAGGAAAACGCATGGTGATCATGGTGCTTAAGAATTTTTGCCTGTTTTCCCTTTAGATAGTTTACAGGATAGTTTATAAACTCACAGAGCATGGACCCTTCACATACATTTCAATAATCTTGACTGTAATGTAGACTACCTAGTCACGAGTCATGGGACCGATAATGACCAAAACTAGTGAAATGGTATTTGGCATTTCCTTCACCTGAAGTGGTTAAAAATTACAAGCAATAATATAAGAATTCTGTTTGCAATTACTGAATGAAGTTAACAGAAGGAATGATTTAACAGACCAGCATAGTTTAGCAACAGATTGCTTCAATTGACACTTCAGGTGGAATACTTGACACAAATGAATAAAGTTAAAGTGCGTAGAGTGCTTTCTACATAAGCACAACTCTTAAATCCATAAATTACTTATTAGAAGGACAGAGGAATAAGGCTACAATATATAAAGTAAATACCTGGTTGCAAAGCTCTTCAAGAAATTCAGAGTATACGATAGGCTTCATGTCATTGAATTTGGCAAGGAATGAATGCTTTATGATATCAATTAACATTTCACAGAAAAAAACCATGAGCGCATTCTGCAGAGTTCAAAGAAGATATAATAAGCACAACAAATAAGCCCGGAAGAATCCATTATAAAGTTCTTCCCTTTAAGGCACAGAGTGCACAGAATCTCTTCTGGTTTACTTACAAGAAGAAAACTCTCAAACCAAGGACCCTCAGCCTCCAGTATATTTTGAGCTAAAACAGCTGATAAGAATGCTGAAATGTGGAATCTCTCTATGGAATCTGGCAGTTAGCAATTGCACAACAAAATTTATGAGACAACACGAACTTCAAAATTGAAAAGAAAATAAAACCTAAACATCAAATGCAAATGTAGGATCATGGATTTAAATGCTGGTCCAGAAACTTCTCAATACAAACATAATTGATGGTTCATGTCTTCAAACAACTCATTCTCAATGTATCAGCTTTTAACTTGCTGGGAAAATAGGCATAATCAAAGACCAAGTCTGATATCAAGCCAATAAATCATCACATTTAATATCTAAAATCGACAGCAAGCAGAATGTTAACTGGTCAAAGATGACACAGTTTCATTCACCATTAAGAAGGACCATAAATAGAGAAGTACAAATAAGCAAACTCACCAGAGTACACCAAACTGTGAATGTTATCTTTGCTGAAACGTTTGAAGACATTGCTTTTTATCTCAGCAAAGTTATTGGATACCAGCAAAGCCAGCAAAGCATTATTGTGAGCAACGATACAAGTTGATAGAGTAATTGCCTGAGCCAATAAAATGAAAGAATGAAGAAGTACGAATAGTCAAGGAGCCAAAGAGAAACCTCAGCATGTCAGTGGACTTTTCTTTTTCTGGAAAATATATCCAAGCCATTGTTAAAACAAAAATAAAATGAATAAATAGACAAAATCAAGAAAAAGGATATTTGAAAAAGCCATAGCTAAAGCTTGATCAGAGATAAATCGCAAAATCCAGAATCTCATATTTTCTGATGAACAATTTGCAAGCCCTTCTGAAGAATTGAATAGAGCCTGCAGTACATCTCCACCAAAGCTCTGACACAGTTTATCGAATATCTGTATTGAGGATAAAAAATATGTTTCCATGATTCCAGACAAATTATTAAAATCAATTCAGGACACTTCACAATCTCCAAAAGTAATGTTAAAGGAACACTTGTCATCCAATGGTCAATTAAAACACAATTCCATTGAGATATGGTGATATGACTAATCTGGGACAGAAGAAGATATGGTTATGGATAAAAAGCCTATAAAACCATCGACATCCAAAATTTATCCATGGCCAAAACATGAATAACAAATAAAACAAAAACCAATGAAAAAATTCAGGAGTCATTTATAAAACTGCTCCTGAATTTCAATATTGACATTGGTTTCAATTCCACCATTGAAATTCTGCTAGGAGTCGGGTACAGGTCACATGGGGCTTCAAATATCAAGAAAGCTTCTAATGCTGTAGAATGTTGGAACAATTTCAGGCGCTTTCCTTTTAGATAATAACCACTATAAAAGAAAGATGTTTCTGTCTGGCCCACCCAACATTGGAGTTCTAAATCCACCCCCACTAGAGCTGATCAAGTCATACACTGATCCAAAAGTCTTTTAAAATGTTTTTTTTTTTTTTAATCTTTTTGAAAGAGCAGGCATTTAAATAACATGTTGACAAAGCACTAGCAAATCCTAAGAGAAGAAAAATGTATTTCATTTATCAAGCTGCATTTCCAAATCAAGAAAGAATATACTTTTTCAGTTATATATTAATCTACTTCAAGGACACCAACATTAATCTCCACAAGTGACTCAAAAATATGAACAGTTACCAATTCTCAGGTTAGTTTAGTTTATTCTCACCTCCAAAACATTGTAAACCACATAGAGTTTGATTGTTCCTTGGCCACGAATCATGTGATATATTAAGCTGATATCTGAGGTAGCGGGGATAAAATAATAAAAAAAGAGGAAATGGTACTTTCAATGCCAAAATCCTGTAACACAGGTATGATAAATTCTAACTCTAATTCAGTGGTCACATCATTCGTCCACAGACTAGTTAATATTGCAATCATGCATATCACAATATATTCTTCAGTACCTATTTGTCCCAAAAGTACAACACCAGAAGCCAATACAATAAAGCAACCAATATCAGAAAGCTCTGCTGCAGAAGGCTTCTTGAACTGCCTGCCACAAGCATGATTAGGTTATTTTGTAATTATTACAAGCTACCTCCTGTCCACAGCATTCACAGACAGAGAAATAATTATGCCTCAAGCACATGTTAGTTGGGTTGAGCAAATTATTTTTCAATTTCAAGAGAGCAGAAGTAGTTATTAAACAGCTAAACTGCTATCAAAAGTGAACTTGTGGACCTAACTCTGACTCTTAACTGTGATACGTGATAGTCACCTTTTAACTTCGTAGAAAACCAACACCAATTTTTTGTACCAATAACGAACACTGATAGTTCATGCGAAGAAGCATGTGCTTGGATTGTATTTTTATGATTTAAATCCTTGTTGTTTGTCTTTTGTGACAACATGCACATCAAAGATTCGAAACTTCTTTTCTTTTGAGAGTATTATTTAGTTTGTGCATGGGATTGCAATGTTTGGTATATTTCATTCATAAAAATATTGATTGGACTTAGTATATTGCAGACCCAGGTAAATGATACAGGCAAATGGGATTGGCAAGAAAAAAAAAATATCATCATTCAAATCAACAATTGATAAAATGTTGAGAAAACAGTCAATGTGTAATCAGCTAAATCAAGCATTCGTCTCTCTGCGTGCGGGAAGCATTCAGGTATGTTTACAAGTGAATGTATGAAACCACGACTGACCTGGCACTCCGAAACCTCCAGAGGATCATCAGAATCTTAGTTGGCATAATAGTTAACAGTGATAGAAACGAATCCAGGCATACAAAGAAGCCGACATCGATAAGCTGCAACAACATTGTTGCATTAATTAAGCATGATGCAACTGCAAGGAAAAACTAATTCGCAACAAAATGAACCGAAGCGCAAACAATGGCTTGTGTAAAGCCAATCAGGATTACCAGTTCACATCTCCATGGCAAGCGAAAAATGGTATCATATACTCTCTCCCTTTCTTTCTCACTCCCAGGAGTAGTTGTGCTCCTCAACGAAATTCCTTTATTCATTTCGTCCATAAAGTACTTCACCGGTGACTTCTCCATCGAAAAGAGATCTAACAGGCAAATGCAGCACAAAACCAAAAATAAAAATAAAAATTAACAGCAATAAATTCCAAAAAGCGAATAAATAAGATTGATTGAACTTACAATTAGGATCGTCGGCCATTAGTTTATTCCAATCCAATGATTCCGCCGTCTCCAACTTCGTAACAACACTTCCATTCGGGGGTTCACTTCTCCGCTGCTTCTCCTCCACTGCACTCTCCTCCAACGCATTTTCCTCCATCGCAGTCTCCACTACACCGGAAAAATTGACATTCCTCTGCCTCAACTCCCCGTTCCCGTACACGCGCTGAATCTCCGCCCCTACTTCACTCACCGTACTGCAAACTACGCTCCCGTCGCCGCCTACTATATAACTGTTTTGGATGTTTCCGTTGTCTGTGTGATGCGAATTTTGGACAACTGGGTAGGAATGGGTGATTGAATCTTCGTGGATTGCGGGATGGAGAGGCTTGTGCTTGCGCTTGTGTTTCTTCTTTTTTCGGTAGGGTTTCTCCACTGGATCTGATTGGTAATTGACGGGATATTGGTCTTCTTTTTCTTCATGGGAACTGCTATGGTTTAGAATCTCGAAGGACAGCTTTCTGCCTGAGGATCTCCAAGCCATCAAGAGTTACTCCCGGTCTGAGAGAGAGAAATCTTTCTTTATCGTCGGTTTTTGTATCAGAAGGAATTCAAAACTTGTATGTTTAATTTAGTTTATATATGCACACACAGAAGTGTTATATTTTTATTTTTATTGTGCGCAAAGGGATTGCTTATTGTTTATTTTTATTAGATTTGTTTTTTACGTTTTACAACTCTGTTAAAAATCAGTGAGCGACTATTATAGTGCCAGCTTTTGCTTTTATATGTTTTCAAAGATATGTTCACTTGAAAATGATCAGTGTTTCATAATTATTTGTATATGTTAATCTTAAAAAAAATTAATATACTTTTAAATAAAAAAATTAAAATATATATATATGTTTGCGTTGGGGGGGTTGGTTAAGGTGACAAGTTTAGTTTGATGATCCAACTTTAGGTGATAATACAAAAAAACAAATGATAAAGATATAGATATCCAATGAGATTATTAAGAAAATTATCACTTTTCATGGTAAGTCACATAAATATTTTCCATTTTACATATTTTTAAGTCTTAAAAGAAAATTGAGATTTGATATATCCATTTTCTCCACATAAAAATCACATATTTTAATTTTTTACTTACTTAATCGCATAAATTCAAATAATAACTTAAATGTAAAAGTGTATAGCATTTCACAAAAGGTTTTTTTTTTTTGGCAAAATCAATTCAGTATTTTATTTGTTTTTACATTTTAAAAATATTTTTAAAAAATTAATTTTTTTATTTTTTATTTACTTTAAATTAATAGTTTTTTATATTTTTATGTATTTTGATGTATTAATATCAAAAATAATTTTTTAAAAAATAAAAACATATTTTAATATATTTTTAATTAAAACTCGTAAAAAAAAGTGAAACTTTTCAACGACTTAGTGATGATCTACCTCAAAGTAGCACTACCTCACATGTAATCTAAGCTTGATTTCGATTGAATAGAGATGAATCTGTGCTCTTCCAGGAATGAAATGTAGGAGCAAGTACTGTCTATATAAGATTTTTAGCCAGCTTCTCTACGGGTACATTTTTTCAGGAAAAATAAATGTTGTTATGATATCTGTATTGTTATATTTTTTTCGATAATGATGCGGGTTAATTAATTTATGCACAATATTGTATAATAAATATTTTATATAATTTGTTCATCTAACTGTACGAGCAATTAGTCTTTTTTTCCTTCAAAAGATCCTTAATTTATCATTTACAGTATTTATTTTTTATCTCCCAACCATTTGTATATCAGTTTGTGTTGAATTTTAAGATAATCTTTTTCGGTAAACATCAAATATACTATCAAATTATTGAGGTATTATCACTTTCACATCCAAGTTATTTTCTACAAAAAAAAAAATCATTAAATTATTTTTATTTTTCATGTAATTTTTTTATTAAAATCACTTAATAGAAAATGTTAAGTATCTCTAAAATGACATTATTTTTAATACAAAATGTATAAATTGAATGGAAATATAAATAAGAATTATAGAAATAGATGAAAGTTTTCAATTAATATTTTTAAGAACTTTAAAAATAGAACCAATATAAAAAATAATTTATTGATAATATTAAGACTAATTACACAGTATTATGGTATTTTTTTAGGTTTGTTAGGGAAAAAAATCATTCATAGTAATCATATTCAATTTTAATTTTCAATGAATTTAATGGTTAATATGTATATTTGGTAATGCAAAAAAAATAAAAATATATTAAAATAATTTGTTTATATTATAAAAATAAAAATATATTAAAATAATTTCTTTATATTTTTATTTTGTATAAGTACATCAAAAAAATTAAAAATACTTAAAAAATTAATTTGATACTTTAAAAAAGAAACACAATTAAAAAAACAAGTAAGCTAAACAAATGTTTGGTTTTATTAAAAAAAACACAATTGAAAAAGCACTTTAAAAAGTAAGCTAAACAAATGTTTGGTTTTATATTATAATATATTTTTTAAATTATTTTTTATTTAAAAAAACATTAATTCGATAAAAATTTCAGGTGTTTTAAAATTATTTAAAAGTGAAATTAAAAAATATAAAATCAAATTACTTTTTATTTAAAAAAACATTAATTTGGTAAAAATTTCAAGTGTTTTAAAATGATTTAAAAGTGAAATTAAAAAATATAAAATAATAATATTTTCAATCAAAAAAATATGTTTTAAAAACAATATCAGCAACAATATCAAACACATGAAGGTTAAAAATATATGTTTAAAAAAAAATCAGCAACAATATCAAACACATGAAGGTCTCATCTTGCACTGCAATCTTACCATGTTTTTTAAAATTTTAAAATTTTAGCTTTAAATCAATAATTCTTTGATCATTTTAATATACTAACATTAAAAATTTTAACAATAAAAATATATTATTTTAATATATTTTTAAATAAAAAATACTTTAAAAAATAATATTTATATCTCTGTATATTTTTTAATTTAAAAATATTTTTTAAAGAACAATACTAATTTCAGGTTTTTTAAATAATTTTGAAGTAAAAATTAAAAAATAAAAATTTTAATTAAAAATATTTAAAAACAATACTAATGTCAACATAAAACACACAAGGTCCATTAGCATTGCAATTTTATTGTATTTTTAAATTTTTTTGAATTTTTTATCTTTAAATTAATAATTTTTATTGTATTTTTTAAAAAAAATTGAATTTTTTATCTTTAAATTAATAATTTTTAGTATTTTTTAATGAGTTTAAAATAAAAATATATTATTTTAATATATTTTAAAATAAAAACTACTTTTTAAAAAATAATATCTAAATCACTGTCAGACAGGCTGGAAATACACTACTTTTTTCAAAATAATATATAAATCACTGTCAGACAGGCTGGAAATACTATAGAAGTGTCATTTCCGTTTTCTGAGCTGTAATTCACGGTTAGCCATGTTGCAAGGCACGTGCTCGCAGAGAAATGGAAGAGTGACGACGCCCTAACGAATACTGTAGTGACACGTTTCAATATTCTTCTCTCTTTTCCCCTCTTTTATCGTCCACCATAATTGCATTGTCAGCACTCTTGTAAGCGTAATTACACAGACATCCCTAATTGAAATAATAAATCACGAAACAGTCAAGACACTTTTCAAATATTGCAGGGCCTCGTTTAGTTAGCTCCGGTTCCATGAAGAATGATCAGGAAAGATAATACATCCATACAAGCACACACGAGTGTGAACATGTACGAAGAAATTTATAATCCAATATTTTGGATGCATAACCAATGAAAATCAAAATATAATCTTGAAATATTGGACAACGTGAGCTCATTTTCTGATAAGCTAAAAATCAGTTATAAAGAAACCCATCTAAGTATATTTCATAATAAATATTATAGAGCTTATTGTTGAGCATTACTTTTTTAATCATTCTCGTCTAGTAATCATAAATGAAACGTATAACAACACTACCAAGAAGAAAGTACTGGTATGAAAAGCTTATACACGTCAATCCGGAGAGCAGAGGCTGTGATTATTAATCACAATTCATCGGAAAGTATGGGATGTTTTGCAGGTGCTTGATGGAGTCTTTATCCGGTGATTATTGATGCTTATTAGCTGGAAATAGTTGGCATGTTGGTTTCGGTTACCGTAATACCCCACCCAATGTTTAAGATGCATAAGCTCACCAACTGTGGCGGGCAAAGCTCGGGCGATCAAGCTGCGCTGTTCTTAGCAAATTATGATTCGAGATGTGTTTTGGCGATTGATACCTGTAAAACCAGCTGCATGTATTTCGATGATGATTCTATGGAAGGATTCTACGCAACGAGAGGTGTCGATTTGGGGTACTTTCCATAGACAACAGGACCCTACAGCAGTTTCATGGCGCTCCCATTCAGACGGTGGTTTAAACCAGTCATTTAAATAGTTAAACACAATCATTCGATCTTTTCTTTGTACTGTTAGTTGTTTTATTTCAAGTAGTCGGTGGATTGTTTGGGCTTTTAATTGGTTATTTGTTCTATAGACCCCCTGCTATCCTGCTTCCATATTTATCACAAGGATTGCTAGAATGGGAGTAAGTTATGAGGCAGGCACATTCTTCGATCAGCTAGGAAGGCAAGGAGGCCAGAGGAAAAAGTGAACTAGTCTAATTGTCTAGTTTATACCTGCTGCAGAATGCTCAATCAAGTGATCCAAGACTGAAGAGTAAGCTCAAATTTTAGTCTGAGATCTTGCTGAAGAGAAGCTAGCAAAAGTTTATTATTTTAGCTTCTAAAGAACTGATTGCTGGGGAAATTACGTCTGCTGTTTCACTGGTTTTACTTATGAGGAAGTTTCGGCTGCTGATGTTTGGGCTATGGCATGTTTTATTGGTCCTGTGTAGGGTCCTTCCTAATCTTTCCCTTCATTCTGTGAAGGAAATTATTCATGAGGCCAGAAATAACTCGACAGTCTAGCTTTCTTGTTCTCCCTTCACTGTTTCTCATTTATCAAGTAGTATTTGTTGGCCACACAAAAGAAACCAAACCGACTATTCACTTTCTGCAATTTTTACTCTATATGAATCCAAAAAAAAGGCATAATTCTCCATACCCGGCATCACAAAAGCTTGATGAAGCCAAAAGGAAAAAGGAAAAGGAAACAAATTACAAATGGAAAGGCCTGTTATCCTTTACATCAGCCTGGACTGCTTAATAGTCATACGGCATTACTACTTTATAACTACACAACTAGAACACAGAGCAAAGAAGACAAATATAAACCGCATTAACAAAATCAGAAACTTGGATCAATCATTAATACATTAGTCTTCTAGGAAGAAGATGGTAGGTTTCGTTGGTTCAGTGATTTCCACGGTTCCTTCGAGCATCTTAGCAACCTTTCCCATTGACGGCCTCATGTCTGGCCTATCCTGAAGGCACCACATTGCTGTCTTCACCATCCTATCTACCATATCAAAATGCACTCTACTATCATAACAGTGCTTAATCTGTCGGTCCAAAATGTCCTCTACCTTCATTTCCTTGAACACTTTGTCAAATGCCCACCTAGGAAAATACCAATCCTCACTGTCCATCAAAGAACCTTGCGTCTCG